CGAAACCCTATCCCCTCGCCGCCGTGATTTCCCATTCCCCTCTCCAATTTATCGTCGCCGGTGAGAAATCCACCGCCCCCGCCCACCGATCTGCGACGATGTGGAGCTCTGGTCGGCGCCGTGACGACGAAGACTAGGAGCGCAAGCGTTGCATCACCTCCGACGCGGCACGCAAGCGCGCGCCCAAGCGCTACACCAAGTACGGTCTCCCGGTGCCGTTGTCCCTCCTCCACCACGAGTCGGAGGAGTGACCTCCGGCATGTGCGGCGCTCCGGCGCGGGGAGCTCATCTGGCACGGGAGCTCTTCCGGCACGGAGCTGCTCCTGGTAAAGAGGGAGAGGGAGTCTGGCGAGCTCCGCGCCATCAAGATCGAACCGGGGGAGGAGCGCCCGTGCGACCGCGGCATCATCGGCCCGGAGGACTACCTCATTGGGCCCAACGTGGACGCCTTCGAGGCGGCGCTCGCCGAGCACATTGCGCACGAGCGGGAGGAGGAGGAGGTGCATCGCCGGTAGGACGAGGAGCTCAGCGACCTCCTCTTCGAGCAGGCGCTCGCCACCGCTCGCGAGTTTGACGAGAAGCAAGTTGCATGGCGCCGTTAGCAGGAGGAGCAAGACAAGAAGTACATTGACCTTGTCTCCTCCTCCGATGACGAGTGAGCGCCGTCGCTGCCGCAGGGTCGCCGCCGCACCCGGAGAGTTCTGGTGAGCTCCAATTTTGCCTAGATTAGGGTACGCCGGCATCGCAATGTAATATAACTTTCCAAATGTAGCTATGATCAAACTATGAATGTAGTATGTGTTCTTCAATTTCGCCCGGGAATGCTTTCTTTTAAAATTTATGGTTTCAAATACGGTCCCAGTTCGGCCACAGAAGAATTCACCCCTCAAACCTCTGATCTCTCGGCCCTTATTCGCGATATAAGGGCCGCTGATATACGGGGTCTGCTGGAAATGCTCTAAAGATGCTAGAAGCAATATCTAATAAGTAACTTTGATTTATGTGGTAACATCTCCATATGTAGCTGACCTCCTGCTCTTGATTTTTCCACAATCAACTTGCGGTCCAAAACGACGAAGATATAATGAGCATAAAGGTCCTGCACAAGAGCGAACGCTTCCCTGATGGCTAGAACCTCAAGTGTAGAAGGATCAACCACGTGTGGAAATATCTCGCAAAAAAATCACGTATGGAAATAACATCGTAGACGCGCCCATGAACGTTCCCCCGGTCCCGACATATTGCACCGACCGAGCCACAAACTCCATGTCTTGATATCGCTATATCAACGTTAATTTTCACATGATTTGCCAGCAGAGGGATCCACTGACTCGACCTTGGTACTCA